AAAAATATATTAAACGTGTATAATATTACTTTATACATATAAAACAATAGACAGAGAGAGATAGAAATTATTAAGATTTTTACATTAAGAATTAAAGATTTTAATGATATAAAATGTTTAATTTTCTATAAAAGTATTAAAATTTAATTAATTGATAATTTTTTTTATTATTATTTTAATAAATTAAGAAAAATTGTTAAGTAAATATAATAAAGTTTACTTACTTCGCGCCTTAAGAGCAACACTTCTTAACATTTCTTCATAATTAAGATTAGGAGAAGTTTCATCGAAGTCCTGATAATGACTTGTCCTTCCTAATGCCGTATAAATGGCACTAAGTGTGAAATAACAATCGGAATTACCTTTAGTTCGATTCTCGTAATTATGGAACAACAAACCGACGACATTCCAGTTGAATTTATAAAGAATTTTTAAGAAAACCAAACCAATCTGGGAATAGGAACCGTTCATTCTAGTTAATAGACGATAATGTGGATTTTTGAAGTCGAAATTATCATTCTGTCCTGCAGCCGTCAGTATAGGAACGTCCCAAACTGACGAGTAACGTGCCACAGGTGCCAACGCATAAGTGCATAAGGGTCCCAAAAAGACATCGGCACTGTTTTCTATATAAAATTCGAATGCGGCTAGTGGACCATACGTAGAAGAGCATTGAGTATCTCTATATAAAACTTGTACCTGCCTACCAGACAATAAACCACTTTCTCCTCTTTTCTTTTGAGATCTGACGGCGTATAGCACCGGTGGTAAAACTTTGTTCAGAGAATATGGATGAAGATCATTATCCGGTGCCAAAATGGCCATTCTTAGTGGACGAGATGCTATATCTCCGGTCGCTGTCTTATTACAGTTACATGATAGTGATGTTATAAGTTTAGCCCAAGCTAAACATATTAGGAGGTGCAACAGGTCTGAGGGATGCATCTCGTCTGTTGCGTGAATGCGTGGGTGACGAGACTCCGTTGGCTGCACGTTCGATTAGCCTCGTTGTCGATTCGTTCTCTATCCCTCTCTTATACAAGAAACACCGATATAATGGTCATAATTAATTCGATTATCTTCGAAAATTTCAAAACATTATCCTTGGTTCTCATTAAGACCAATTACTGAATTCATTTTGCATTAAGTGAATTTTTTTTTGTGTTATTTTATTTAACTAATTGAAGAATAAGGTATTATTTAATCAATGAAAATTTTAATACGATAAATAAACCTTTTTATTTGTATTTTTTTTTAATAAGTAGCATTATAATTTCGATCGTCGTTTGAATTAATGAATCTGAACCCACGTCATTTATTTATTTGATTTTCTTTGTATATTATGCAAATAAATCAAATTAATATTATTATTTTTAGAAATGATGTATTTATATTATTAAAATATATGAAAATATTAAATCAATTTATCGATTTTTTTATGTAAAAAACATTAAATATTCTTAATTTGATGAAATTTTTTTTATAAATTTATTTATTTATGTTAAAAAATACATTCTGTTCTTTAAAAAAATGAATAAATTATAGCATCTAACACATTTGTTTAAAAATAGTAACAAAAATTAAGATTGAAATAAATTAATGGAGAAAAAAAGAAATGAATAAGAACCGAACCCACGTCTTTATCTAAATCTTTTTAAAAAATATTTTAATTTTTATATTAAATTCATATTTTTAATTATATCAATACGATATTTTAAAATTCTTAAATTAAAAATTCCTAAAAATTGTCTTATCCGGATTAAAGATAAACGATTAAGCATCAATATTTTCTCTTTATCCTATTAGCAAATGGTATTAATCTTCCAAATTATCTATTTTTATGGCTTATTTATATTTCTTCTGTTATATCCAAGCTAAAATAGGTCTTAAAACGTCGTCATAGTTTTAATGATCCTTGTAAAAAAAATATTAAAATATTTTAAGTGTTTTCGGCTTTATATATATATATATAATAAATGCTTATAAAATAATTTTTTAAATATTTATTTCTTAGAAATTTAAAAATAATATTTGTATTATTAATCATAATAAATAAAATGGTGTGTAACGCCATCTTTTATGAGATTTTGTATTATCAAAAATTTATATTATTAATTAATATAAAATGTCAAAAAGCTTAATTTCGAGAAATCGTAAATGTTAATAACTAGTAAGATCTTCATTAAGTCCGACATCTCTCGAGATATGACACGTAACACTTCTCTATCTCCTCACCCCCTCGATCCTTAATTATTATTAAAATTTAACAGCATCAATGCCTCTTATACACAAACTACTGTACCAAATTTCGTTTCTCAATCTTTACCCCTACTCTGAGATATTAAATTGATGCCAAAAGACATACACACGTACATATCCACGGAATTTTTTCTTGTTTTTGATTTTTTTGGAGGGTTTAAAACATGGAAATTTACAAAAACTCACGAGTCAAATTTGTCACAATTCCAATACTTTCCATTGTTTTGTATATATAACAAGCAGAAAATCAAAACTGACAATTATTTACAATCTCTCCTATTGTTTATTTACTAGATTTTTTCTAAGGTCGCACCTAAAAGTAGTATTTATAGCAACTGAACTATTGATTCTTATATCAAAGAATATATGATTTTGATTTGATTTGCTGATCAAAAGATAGGGAAAAATTCCATTGTTAAAATCTGATACAAAAAAAATATATTCAAAATAAGAAAATTACTAAATGTTTGTAATTAAACATAAATTTCTGATAAAACTTTCATAATTTTAGAAATAGTACTAACGAAAAAATAATATTTTGTAATATTCATACATGGAAAGGCTATAGAGATGAAGAGGGTGTATGCTTCTTATCAAGAAAAGGCTCTATAAATTTTCCTTATAAATAATAATAATAATAATTTAAAAATTGTCAATGAAAAGTTAAATATTGTTCTAATATTGATATTGAAAATATTAAATATTGCTATTTGATTCACAATTGTGCATTCTTTTAAAACGTACACGATAATATATATAGGCTTATATTTGTGAGAATGTATTGCAGTCAGTGGAGCTTTATCTTATGGACGAAAAAGGCAATTTCCTCGGGCCTCCACCAACAGAGGGCCCCAAACTAATCTTTTTATTAACTCGTACTGTTGTAAGAATATCGAAATTTAAATTTGGGCCTTATCCCGAGGACCCTGGATTGCCGGTGTGACTCAGGCATATATTGGCATAACGCAGAACTTAATTAAAATCCACCAGAAGCGAGAATACCGGGGATCCTCCGAAAAAAAAAATGTTCGAAGTTGAGACTGTACTGTATGTACATGGGGTCCCCTAATTCAAGTTTGTCAGGTCTCTCACGAATCAGTAACGCACCATTGATTACTTAAGCTATAACAAACCCTTTACTCTCTAAGAATTAGTAATAATTTAAAAAGGTCAGACTTTAAGCTTATCTTCATAGAAAGATCCTATAACTACTTCCAGAAGCCACAAATCCATAACATGCCTGTTTATGTATGGTAGAAATGTTTCTTGTTAACTAAAATTTACTCCAATTTATAATATGACAGCGAAATTAGTTGTAGTTGTATGAAATCAACGTAATTTATCATTTAATAAAATGATTTATTCTCTCGAATTTTAATCATAAAAAAAAATAAAAACTGAGTATATTACATAAAAATATTTTCGTTAAATCAGTTTAGACAATCTAATTACTTCTTAAATGAGAAATTAAAAGAAAAACGTCGTATTTTAATCCATGTCACTACCATTCGACAGTCGCTATTCAAGTTTCTTTACCGAGTTTGCAATTACTTCTGAATTAAATAAAAAACAATTAAAGCTTAAATATATAACCGTAATAGTATTTAAAATCATATAGAATTGTTTATTTATCATTAAAATAGTTTATACATTTATTATAGCTAGTATCTAGACCTATCAGAGGTCTAGAGAAGCCGGTGTCTTGCTCTTTAAGTCGATTAATATATTACAATATTTGTGTTATCACACACGATCGTTCAGTAGGGCTTATCACACTGACACAATTTTCTATGAAAAGATTTTTGTTCAATAATATAAAATATCACCATTAATACAAGTTCAAAATACATTTCGGGCCCCCTCTTCAGTTACCTCGAAATGCATTTGATAAGACTTACTGAACTATTGTTTGTGATACAAACAGTGTAATATTAACAATAAAACAGCTCATAAATATATTAACCTGTAGGCATATACTTTAACGATCTCGAACTTTTCTTTCAGGCTACTCAGCCTAAATTTCTGTGTTAAAAAAATATCCTAAACACTATTCTTGTGTGTTATTCGGGGTGTTTTTTTAAACAGAAATTTTGGTTCAGTAGCTTGAAAGAAAGGATATTATTTAAATGACTGATGATTGTAAAGTAAAAACTTCATTTATCTAAATATATAAAATTACTTGTCCTGACTGACTGAGTCACTGATTCATCATCTCCCAGAGCAAACCGCTGAACCTAAAGAGGTAAAATTTGGTACACAGTTAGGAAACGCACATTAAGAAGGGATTTTTCGAAATTCCCCCGCGGGGGGAGAGGGAGAGCATTAAGGCTTAACGGGAAAAACGGCTTCTACTGAACTATTTTAGATGCGATTTTTTTGTTTTTAACTGCGTTTTAGTAGGGTATGCCAAGGGAATGCACACTTAGAAGGGATTTTTCGAAATTTCCCCGCGGGGGAGAGGGAGAGCATTAAGGCTTAACGGGAAAAACGGCTTCTACTGAACTATTTTAGATGCGATTTTTTTGTTTTTAACTGCGTTTTAGTAGGGTATGCCAAGGGAATGCACACTTAGAAGGGATTTTTCGAAATTTCCCCGCGGGGGAGAGGGAGAGCATTAAGGCTTAACGGGAAAAACGGCTTCTACTGAACTATTTTAGATGCGATTTTTTTGTTTTTAACTGCGTTTTAGTAGGGTATGCCAAGGGAATGCACACTTAGAAGGGATTTTTCGAAATTTCCCCGCGGGGGAGAGGGAGAGCATTAAGGCTTAACGGGAAAAACGGCTTCTACTGAACTATTTTAGATGCGATTTTTTTGTTTTTAACTGCGTTTTAGTAGGGTATGCCAAGGGAATGCACACTTAGAAGGGATTTTTCGAAATTTCCCCGCGGGGGAGAGGGAGAGCATTAAGGCTTAACGGGAAAAACGGCTTCTACTGAACTATTTTAGATGCGATTTTTTTGTTTTTAACTGCGTTTTAGTAGGGTATGCCAAGGGAATGCACACTTAGAAGGGATTTTTCGAAATTTCCCCGCGGGGGAGAGGGAGAGCATTAAGGCTTAACGGGAAAAACGGCTTCTACTGAACTATTTTAGATGCGATTTTTTTGTTTTTAACTGCGTTTTAGTAGGGTATGCCAAGGGAATGCACACTTAGAAGGGATTTTTCGAAATTTCCCCGCGGGGGAGAGGGAGAGCATTAAGGCTTAACGGGAAAAACGGCTTCTACTGAACTATTTTAGATGCGATTTTTTTGTTTTTAACTGCGTTTTAGTAGGGTATGCCAAGGGAATGCACACTTAGAAGGGATTTTTCGAAATTTCCCCGCGGGGGAGAGGGAGAGCATTAAGGCTTAACGGGAAAAACGGCTTCTACTGAACTATTTTAGATGCGATTTTTTTGTTTTTAACTGCGTTTTAGTAGGGTATGCCAAGGGAATGCACACTTAGAAGGGATTTTTCGAAATTTCCCCGCGGGGGAGAGGGAGAGCATTAAGGCTTAACGGGAAAAACGGCTTCTACTGAACTATTTTAGATGCGATTTTTTTGTTTTTAACTGCGTTTTAGTAGGGTATGCCAAGGGAATGCACACTTAGAAGGGATTTTTCGAAATTTCCCCGCGGGGGAGAGGGAGAGCATTAAGGCTTAACGGGAAAAACGGCTTCTACTGAACTATTTTAGATGCGAT